GTGTTTGGAAGAGAACACTAAAGGGTGTGGATGGACTATCAAATGATAAGAGGTAATTGGATTATAGGAACAGAAACACTGCCTGTTTGTACTGAAGGGGACTGAGATGGGAAGAAATGAAGGAAGGCTTTCAGATGTTGATTCTACAAGACAGGATGATAAAGCTACTTGGCTATGAATGTGCACTATTCAAGAAAGGGGAAGAATGATCCCAAAAGCAATTCAGAAATCATCAGGGCCATCACCTTGGTTTCAACAGGACAGACAGGCTTCATCTGAAGTCATGGGGGCAGGACCCTTGCCTGGGCAGAGCTGCAAAGGCAGGACCACAACCCAGTGGATCCAGAGGGCAGAGCATCAAACCAAAGAGGATTATTCTCGAGCCTTAAGATCTAAAGGTATTTGCCTTGCTAGAATTGGACTTGGTTGGGACCCATCACTCCTTTCTTTCTTCTGATTACTCCTTTTTGGAATGAGAATGTCTACCCTATGCCTATCCACCACTGTATTTTGGAAGTAGATAACTTATCTGGTTTCACAGGTTCAAAGCTAGAGAGGAATTTTGTTTCAAGATGAATCATACCTAGAGTGTCACCTATATCTGATTTAGATAGTATTTAGATACTTTATTTTTTTAAGGAAGGCTTTATTCTTTTTTTGACTGCACTACACAGTATGTGGGATCTTAGTTCCCTGACCAGGGATCGAACCCATGCCCCCTGCAATGGAAGCATGGTGTCTTAACCACTGGACCACCAGGGAAGTCCAACAGTATGTAGATACTTCAGACATTAGAGTTGATTCTGAAGAGTTAAGACTTTGGAGCTGTTGGAATGAAGTGAATATATTTTGCATGTGAGAAGACATGCATCTGCAGGACCACATATTTTGTAATAGCAGCCTGAACTGACAAAGACAGATCATGTTTTCCTTACAGGACCCTGGATTTGATTTTGCTTGAAAGCCATAGCTTAATTTTAGCCCTGGTTGCCATCTAGAGAGACTAAAAAATTTCAAAATCATCAAGTCCTGACTCCTTATTGTTCAATAATTTATCTCTCTTCTCCCATTTTACTACAAGAAGCAAGACGAAACCAGGCAGCACCTTCTGCTTGGTAACTGCTTTAGTTAGATCACCCAGTTCAGTAGGAACATCTTCTCTTTCCACATGCTTGCAGACGATACTGTTGCTAAACCTTCTGCCACTTCATAACAAGGATCCTCTTTCCTTCAGTTTCCAATAACATGTTCCTTACTCCCTTTTGAGCACTCATTGGCAGCATCATCAAAGTCCAGATTCCTACTAAGTTTGTTCAAGATAATTTAGGCTGTCTCTAACACACTCCTCAAAATCTTTCCTGCTTCTGTCCACTGCCTGGTTCCAAACCACTCCCACATTTTAGGTAGTTGTTATGACAGCACCCCATTTCCAGGCACCAAACTCTATATTAGTTATCTATGCTGCATGACAAATTGCCCCTAAATTTAGTGCTTTAAAAAGTTATTATCTCAAAGTTTCTGTGGGTCAGGAATTTGGACACAGCTTAGCTGGGTGCCCCTGGTACAGAAGGTTGTAATCAAGTTGTTGGCCAAGGCTGCAATCATCTCAGGGTTCAACTAGGTGAGAATCCATTCTAAGCTCACTTATGTGACCACTGGCCAGGCCTCAGGTTCTCACTGACAGTTGGCAAGACATTAGTTCCTTGACATATGGAGCCCTATATTGGGCAACTATAGTGGGCTGACTAGTATCCCCTCCCTCATTCATGTTCACATGGAACCTCAGAATGTAATTAGTTAAGATGAGGTCATACTAAATTTGGGTGGGCCCTAAATCCAATGACTGCTGTCCTCATAAGAAGAGAGAACACAGAGGCACACAAAAAGGTCATGTGGAGATCGAGGCAGAGATTAGAATAATGTACCTATAAGCCAAGGAATGCCAAGGTCTGCTGGAAGACTCCACTCTTCCCTAGAGTCTTCAGAGGGAGCATGGCCCTTATGACACCTGGATTTCAGACTTTTGGCCTCCAGAACTGTAGACAATTTCTGTTGTTTTAAGCCACCCAGTTTGTGGTAGTTTGTTATGGCAGCCCCAGGAAACTAATAAAGCTGCTCACATTTTTGACCTGGCTTTCCTCAGAGCAAATAAGCAAGAGAATAGGAGAGAGAGGGGTACCCAAGATGGAAGCCACAGACTTTTTGCAACCTAATCTCAGACATGCCATCCCATCATTAGAAGCAAATCACTTGATCAGCCCACGAGCAGGGTGAGGGGATTAAACAAAATCATGAATACCCAGAGGTGGGCATCACTGAAGGCTATCTTAGGCTGTCTACTACCTCCCCAGCAAAAAAAAAATGGAGGAAACCTCTCCTTCCTCAGGGCTCTGCCTTCTCCATTCCTTGATTCCTTCAACAAATATTTATTAAACACCTACAGTGGGCCAGGAGTTGAGGATGTGACCAATAATACAGACAAGGTTCTTTCCCTTGAGAGTATTTAGTCTAGTGTGGGAGAGAACACTAAAGAAAAAAAGCAAGTGGATATATAAATTAAAATTGTGATAAGTACAAGGAAGTAAATTATGAGGTAATAGGAATATCTGATTTAGATTGAACCAAGGGTCAGGCCTACTCTTTCTGATAAAATAGTATTTAGAATGTGGTTGAAGACTGTAGAAATTGGGCTGTGTGTGTGTGGGGGGGTGGGGAGAGTAAGTCTCTAGATAGAGGGATAGTATGTGCAGATAACAGCCAATAAGTTTAACTGCCAGACTCAGAACACTTAAGGCAGGGATTTCATCTCTGCATCTCTACTATGTAGCACAGTGCCCGGCACAGAGAGGCACTTGATAAATTCTTACTGAATGAATCCAAGGTACCTTCTATTTCCTAACTGTTATAGATAATGTCAATTCAAGTCATTTCGAAATTTTCTCCCAAAGTTCACTGCTGGATCACTGTTCTTATTTATATTAGGTAGCATAAGCAAAGCTGCTATAATAAAAAGACATAAATAGATAAAAGCTCAACACAAGAGGTTTTTGTTTTTTTGTTTTTCCTCATATAACAATGCTGAGTGGGTGTTTAGGTCAACAGGGCAGAGTTCTCCTCCACCCAGGTATCTTCCATCTTAAAGCCTTGCCTTCTTCAGAACCTGGTCATCATCTTCCAGCTGGCAGAGTAAGTAAGAGCATCTGTTGACAGATTTTCTGGGCCAGGCCTGGATATGTGCACATCCCTCCTGCTCACTTTCCATTGGGGGGGAGCATAAGCATATGGCCACTTTAAGGGGGTTGAGGAATGTACTGTAGGTGTATGGCCAACAAAGAGGACAACTAAATAAGTCAAATACTTGACTTATTCTCTGGTACATTACTCAAGAACCTCAAATTAACCAGATAAAAAAGAACTTTGGATTCCCTGCTTTCACTCTCATCTGAGTCTTTCATTCACTGAATGGCACCACCATCCACGCAAGTTGCTTAAGGCAGTCTCCTGGAAGTTATTCTTGATTTGTTTTTGTTTTTTTGGCCGTGCTATGTGGGATGTGGGATCTTAGCTCCCCACCAGGGATCGAACCCGTGATCTCTGCAGTGGAAGTGCAGAGTCTTACTGGACAGCCAGGGAAGTCCCCTTGATTTGTTTCTTATTTTCATCTTCCACGTGGAGTCCTTTGGGAAGCCCTTTCAACTCTACCTCCAAAACGTATCATAAACCCATCTATTCTATCTTTACTGCCACTTTCTTAGTTCAAGCTTCATAATAATCTGGGTTATTCCAAAAGCATTTTAATAACTTTCCATGTCTCCACTTTCACTTGCCCATATTTCATTCTCCATACAGCAGAGTCTTATCTTTTAAAACATAAATTTGATCGTATCACTCTTTAGTTTAAAACCTTCCAGTGGCTTAGAATAAAACCCAAAGTTCTCACCATGACCCCTAAGGGTGTATATGATACAACCTCTGCCTACCTCTCCAACCTCATCCTTTATCACTCTCTGCTACTCACCCTGCTCCAGCTACAATGATCTTGCTGCTCCTTGACCACATTTACCTTACTTCCACTTTAAGACTTTTGCACTTGCTGTTCCATCTGCTCAGAAATCCCCTTGGATTTCCAATAGACAGTTCCTTCTCATTAGAGGTCTCAGCTTCAAGGTTACGGCCTGGGAGACCTTCCCTGATCATCTACTTGGAAAAAGCCCCCACACCCAGTTATTCTCTTACCTCAGCATCCTGTTTATTTGCTTTTTAGTATCCACAAACTCTGTGTTTTTCCCTCTTTATTTTATGCTTCCCTTTCCTGAAAATAAGATCCATGAGCAGGTACCGTGTCTTTTTTCTACTGTTTCCCCAGGGTCGAGTAGGCGTGGCACACAGCTGTGCTCAGTAAATAAGTGAATGAATGAAGAAGCATCAAGAGGTGATTAACCAAAAGCTCCTGCAAGGTTCTTTGACAGATTGCTGGTGTCGTGTGAGGAGCACAAACCTGGGTTCCGGTTCGGACTTGCCCACTTCTCAGCTGTGCGCAAATGAGTGCCGCTCTCTGAGGGCCTCAGTTACCGCATCCGTTATCAGGAAATAAGCACATACTTACCTGAAAAGGCCAAATGCCTACTTTATAAAGGAGAAAGGAACTAAGAGAAGAAAAGAGCTTCACGTAAAATAAACGCTCCGTATATATAACTTATTATATATAATTGTTGTTACCGCAGGACCCGCCCGTGGCCTCAGTTTCCTCTTCTCTATCACTGGTCGATATCCCCGGCTCCTTCCGCAGGGTGTTTCTGGCACCACAAATCTCGACCGCGGCGCTGAGAGAAAAGAGAAACGCTTCCGCAGCCACTAGAGTCCGGTGGTGATGCACAATAGCCCCGCCCCGCGAGCCTGAGCCTTTTACGTCATCAACTCGGCGCCAGCGCTGCGGAGGGCCCGGGGGCCTATCCTGGGTGTGGCGCCACCTTGGGGAGGCCTTGGCGGACGCCTGCAAGTCAACTGCTTGGTTCGGGGGCGGCTCGGAAACCGCAGCTGACCGTGACGAGGGGCGCGTGGAGCCGTGGGGACACGAAGTCGGGCGGTAGGAGAGGCGGCCCGGGGCTCAGGCGGGGCACAGCGCCGGCAAGCGGGCGCCTGGCGGGGCTGCCCGGCGCGGGTGTCCCGGCGATGTGTGCTCGGCCTCGGCTTCGCGGCGGTGCCGGCGGCGGAGGCGGAGGCGCAGGCTCCTACTCAGGATCTGGCGAGCCCGGACCTAAGCGGCGGCCCCGCGAGGCCCCAGCACATCGCCCCGGATCGGGGCCTTCCCCGCCTCGCCCTGCCCCGGGAGCCTGCCTCCCCGGCCGGGGATGAAGCCGGGAGGCGGCCGCGCGGGGCCCAGCACAAAGGCTTGTTTCCGGGGGCCGCTGCCGCCGCCGGCCCCAGCCTAAAGCCGCCCGCCGAGGCCGATCCGGCGCCGGGGCCGTCATCCCCGCAGGTCCCCGGGGGCGGCTGCTGCCCGTCTCCCCGAGACCCAGGGCCCCGAGCGCTGAGCCCCTTGTTCCTTCGGCTGCGGCGGGATCCGGCAGCTGCGCAGCCTCCGCTGCTCCCGGCCGTGCGGGCCCCGCGGAGCATGTGGGAGGAGAGCGACATGGAGAAAGCCATCAAGGTAAGGGGGAGATGCCCCCTTCTTCCCCGCTTTGTCTCTGTGACATTTCTCTCGGCTCCAACCTCAGAAAGCAGAGAGAACTTGGAGCAACTCCCGGGTTTCTGTTTTCACTGGGTTCCGTGGACTGCGTTTTACAGCACTGGGGCGAAGGGTTTGTGTGTGTAGGGAGGGACATCCGACTCTCTCCGACTTACCTGCTTAAAGCGGGGATATGATTCCCCGCTTCGCTAGAGTGGAAGGTGAGTGGCGTGGAGATACTTGATGTGAGTAGGACGGAGGGGGCCCCACTACTGTTTTCGATCATTCCCCAAGTGCCATTAGAATTTGCTTTCAGATGATCTGCTGCAACACCACTTGGAGAGCTGGACCTTACCCATCGCTCCAGATTTGTTTTAAATCTGCTGCTGCAGAAGGAGGTGATCGTCTTCTTACAAGACCTGTCCTTTGGCAAATAAGTTGTTCTCACTTTTCCGTGTGGTCCCTCCCCATTCCTGTTTCCTTTTCCTTCTCCTCCTAGGTAGCGCTAAGTTTATTTAGAAGGAGCTAACGGTGTCCTGTAAGTTACTGCTCTGTTAACCAAAAGAAAAGCAAATATGTGTGTTCCAAAGTGACCGAAATAAAATGACACATTTTTAAAAACCTGCTTTTTACTCTTTTTTAAACAGGCAGACATTGAGGCATTCAGTCACAGGAGTCAGAAAGTTATTATTTAGCTGTACTTAGGAAATTAGGTTCTTATGTGAATTGAACACTGAATCTTAAAGTTTGATATGTATTATTTACTTATTTTACAGTATTAGGTCAACTCTGTGCATTTAAGAATTTCATTTTCCCTTGAGGGACAGGCAACTTGTGGTTATTTTCCCCATCAAGACACAATCACTACAGTCAATAACTAATTAAGAACTTACACATCTAACAATTTTGGGGGTGGTAAAATTTATAGAAATCATCAGTCACTTCATAGAAAATTCACCATTTAAATGAGGCATCGAAACAGAACATACACATTAAGGAAGATCAAACTTTAAATAATAGAAATAAAGGTTCTAAAAGACTACTTTGATAGATACATTTTTTTCCTTTTGGTTTGGATTTTATTGGTACAGCGTCGTGGATTGCCTAAAGTTATATGATTGGGTTGTGAATCAAAATATATTTGGCAGATTTTTAAATTCAAGAAGTATTATCTGCTTTGTGCCAGGTGCTGTCTTAGGCACTTGTGGTGCAAAGCCAGACTGCTAGATGTCCCTCTTTCATAGAGCTTCTATCTAGATGGTGGAGTTAGGTAATAAACATTGCCAGGTGATATAATTAAGTATTAAAAAGGGGGGAGTACTATGTTAGGAAGGGTAGGCAGGGAAGGCTTTCCTGAGGAGGTGACATTTGCATAGAGCTTTGAAGGGAATGAGGGAACAAACCTCCACTGTCTTGGGGAAGAATATTATAGGCAGTGGGAACAGCAGGTACAAAGGCCGTGAGGTAGGTGCGGGTCTCGTGTGACCCAGGAACAACAAGGTGGCTGGAATGCAGTGGGTCAGTATAGATTATGTTAGAGATAGGTGATGGGAAGCCACAGTATACACAGGGCCTTGTAGGCCATTGTAGGAACTTTGGCTTTGACCCTGAGTAGAAGGGGAAATCTCAGAGAGTTTTGAGCAGAACAGGGACATAGCTCTAGTGGGCAAATGTATAAACGGGGAAGCAGTGTTACTGAGTGGTTGTTATAGTTTCTCCAGGTTGACTGATGAGATGAAATTCAGCCTGGCCATTCATTTAACTGTGTCCTTGAATAAGTCACTTTACTTCTTTGTCACTTAGTTTCCTCATCCATAGGAAGAGGATAAAAGAATCTCCTCAGCTTAGGGTTTTTTTGAGAATTTAATAAGCACATGTATCTAAATGTGCTTACAGTACCTAACATTTAGTAAGAACTCAATGGATATTAGCTCATAGCAACCTAAGAATGGTTTAGAAGGAGTTGGGGTTTTCTTCAGTCGGTCACTATTGTCCAGCTTAGTTTTCTTAAAACTTTTTAGCTTTTCTTCATGTACTTACTAATAGGTCATTGGTGAATCTTCCTACTAATTTGGGTGTGTCCAACCAACACAAATTAGTGGAGTTGAAAATATCTGATCTAACAATATCTGATCTAACAACCAGTACTGATGAGGATATATTCCCTTGGCAGCAAGCCAGCATCACATCAAATAAAACTTTTGGTCTGTGGCACTGTGTTGTATTCATTGTTTTGCTTTTTTGAGGCTGTCCCTCATTTGGTAAGAACTGAGACCTCTGGAGTTCAGCTGAAAAGCTATTTCCCTGGGTTCTCACCACAACATTAAACCTGATTACCTGAGAGTGGGTGGATTGGACTTTAAGATCTCATCCTATTACTCTTCAAGGTATTAGGATAAGGCCAACTGGCTACAACCATAGACTCTGTCTTCTCATTTCTGTCTCTACTGCCATAGGCCATGACTTCACTACTCCCAAGTCACTTAGCTAAACCTAGATAATGAGCATTTTGGGATGAGAGATTGCCTTACATGTTTGTTTTCTGTTGTATATGGCAGAGTTTTTAATACTTTATGAACTTAATGAAAATTCATTTTCTTAGTTTTAAAAACATTAAAAAATTGCAGTTATAATTCACATACCATAAAATTCGCCCAAGGTAAGTGTACAATTCAGTAATTTTTAGTGAGTTTATAGAGCTGTGCATCTGTCTTCACAATCCAGTTTTAGAATTTTTCTATCTCGCCTCCGTCTCCCCCACCCCACCCCCATCCCTGGAAAGTTCCTCCTGCCTCATTGTAGTCAGCCTCTACTGTGACTCCCCACCCCAGACAACTACTGATCTGCTTTCTGTCACTGTTCTTCTGTCTTCTCTACAAATTCCAAATAATCAAAATTATATAATATGTAATCTTATGTGTTTGGCTTCTTTTACTTATACTTTTGAGGTTCATCCATGTTAGTGCATGCATTAGTAGTTCACTCCTTTTTATTGTTGAGGAATGTTTTTATTGTTTATCCCCTGTTGATGGACATTTATATTGTTTCCAGTTTTTAGCTATTATGAATAAAATGATAAATAAAACTTGTCCGTACAAGTTTTTGTGTGGACGTATGTTTCATTTTCTTCTGGGTAAATACCTACGTGTGGAATTACTGGGTAGTACAGGAAGTTTATGCTTAACTTTTTAAGAAACGGCAAAACTTTTCCAAAATGGAATTGTTCCGAGACCATTTGTTCAAAACATTGTCTTTTGCTTGTTGAATTACCTTTGTTGAAAATCAGTTGATCATAAATGTATAAGTTTATTTTTGGATTCTCTTTTTTTTTCTTTTCCTTTGCTTTTTTTGTTTTTGTTTGTTTGTTTGATTCTCTTTTCTGTTTCATTGATCCATATAACTATCCTTATGCCAGTGCCACACTGATTTGATTACTGAAGCTTTATGGTAAGTTTTCAAATTGGGTAGCATGAGAACCAACTTGGTTTTTCTTTTTCAAAATTAAGCTGGCAGGACTTCCCTGGTGGTCCAGCGGTAAAGAATCCGCCTTACAATGCAGGGGACGCGGGTTCTATCCCTGGTTGGGGAACTAAGATCCCACATGCCATGGGGCAACTAAGCCCACACGCCACAACTACTGAGCTTGCATGCCTTAACTAGAGAGCCTGCGTGCTGCAGACTACAGAGCCCACGTGCCCTGGAGCCTGCGCGCCACAACTAGAGAAGAGAAAACCTGCCCGCCGCAACTAGAGAGAAGCCCGTGAGCTGTAACGAAAGATCCCGCGTGCCACAACTAAGACCCAACGCAGCCAAAAATAAATAAAATAAATAAATAATAAATAAATCTCAAAAAACAAACAAACCCCAAGAAACCTAGGAAACTGAAGGTTTCTATATATATAAAAAAATTAAGTTGGTTATTTAAGTTCTTTGTATTTCCAAATAAATTTTAGAATCAGCTTGTCAATTTCTACCAAGAAAAGTGTGCTGGGATTTTGACGGGGATTCCATAGAATCTGTTGGTCAGTTTGAGGACAGTTGCCATCTTAACAATATTGTCTTCTATGCCAAGAACATGGTATAACTCTCCATTTTTTTCCAGGCTTTCCCCTATTTATCACTGTGTTTGAGTCTTTAGCGTATAGACCTTCTTTTGATAAATTTATTCCTAAATATTTTATTCTTTATGATGCTATTAAGAGTGGAATTGTTTTTAAAAATAAATTTATTTATTTAGTTATGGCTGCATTGGGTCTTCGTTGCTGTGCGCGGGCTTTTCTCTAGTTGCGGCGGGGCTTCTCACTGTGGTGGCTTCTGTTGCAGAACACGGGCTCTAGGTGCATGGGCTTCAGTAGTTGTGGTGCAGGGGCTCAGTAGTTGTGGCTTGCAGGCTCAGGAGTTGTGGCACACAGGCTTAGTTGCCCCGCAGCATGTGGGTTCTTTCCGGATCAGGGCTCAAACCCATGTCCCCTGCATTGGCAGGCGGGTTCTTAACCACTGTGCCACCAGGGAAGCCCCCATTTCTAATGTTAATAACGTGTTTTTTCTCTCTTTCTCAGTCAGTCTAGCTAAAGGTTTGTTAATTTTGTTGACCTTTCAAAGAATCAGCTTTTGGTTTTCATTTATTTTTCTCTATTTTCTGTTTTCTACTTTATTGATTTCTGCTCTACTTTTTAATATTTCTGCTTGCTTTGGGTATAGTTTGTTTTTTAGTTTTTCAAGGTAGAAGCTTAGATCATTGATTTGTGATCTTCCTTTGTTATAGAGGTATTGATAGCTAAAGCAGTGTTTAGTGTTTTCATCTAAATGCTGCTTTAGCTGCAGCTCATACATTTTAGCTTATTGCGTTTTCATTTTCCTTCAGATCAAAATATTTTCTAATTTCCCTTATTATTTCTTCTTCATTGGTTATTTAGAAGCATGTTACTTAGTTTCTATATATTTTTAAATTTCCCAAATTTTCTTCTGTTGATTTATAGCTT